GGCGGAGCCCAGGCCCCACGGCCCCGCCTCTGGGGTGGGCGGGGCCGCGCCGAGAGCGTGCGTGCGCGCAGGCTGCGCATGCGTCAAGGGCGACCCAAGCTCGCGGTGGGCGCGGTAGCTGTAGCAGCAGCGGGGCGAGTCGCGTGGTTCTTCAGACTCACCTGTGGTAGGCGTTGGCAGTCCAGTGAGAGGACTGCCAACTTCCCATCCCGGAAGTTCCTGGAGCCAGGGGATCCGGGAAGCCTCGAGACGTGCTGAGTGACCGGAGGCGCTGGGCTGCCTTCCTGCCCAGCGAGGGTTTTAATGGACGCTATCACCAGGCACTCGCTGCTCGTTTGGCGGCCCCCGTGCCACCTCTAGACGGAGTAACTGCGACCGTGCCGCCTCCTGATGCTGGTCACTGAGGACCCGCTGCCAGCCCAGCTGTGTGCATGGTCATCTTCGCTTCTTGCAACAGCCTGGCAAGGTAGGTTTCTGTCAACCCCAAAATAAAAAGACTGAGGCAAAGCAATGAAAGCAAAGGTTTTACCAGGCTGGAGTTAGGACTATCGCCGGGCCACAACAGAATCCAAGTTGTGCCCCTGATGTGTGCCATTGTGTTAGGATTTTAGGAAAATTTTAAAGACAAAAGTCGGGAATGGGGGGCGCATAACAAGGAGTTTTGTACAGCAGCTGTTGGCTGAATTCCATGATAAGAGTCTCTACTGAGTCTCTAAAAAAAAAAAAAAAAGAATTAATTTAATTAATTAAATTTCCCAGAGAAGGGCAGAGTGAGAGAGAGAAGCAAAGTGAGAAAGTAAGCTGCCAGGTCCAGGACTCGAACTGTGGTTGGCCATGTGGGAGTTCAACTACCTAGCCACGATGCCATCTCCTGCAAAGTATGGAGACAGGGAGTCTGGAAGGTAAAGGAGGAGGGTATGTTGGCAATAAGGATGTTCAAAAAGAAAAAGTTCAGTGAGTTCAGGTTGCATCTAGAACTATTTCAGGTACACATTTCTAAGAAAGCCAGGTGACATGGTGATTAAGGCAGCTGGATCCCACATGGCCAACTGAGCTAGACCCTGCGCCAAGGAAAATAATGCTGGGAGAATGGAAGAGAAAGGATTGTGGCATGGCTTTCCCCCCAGGGGTGATTTCTCACTTTCTCCTCTACAGCGAGTACACATGCCTTATACGAAAAAGTGAAAAAAGTTTCAGTTTGATGATGTGACAGTTTGATATGAGGAACTCCATTTTGGTGTGTTGAGACTTCTAGAGAAGGAGCTTAGTCCAAAACAATTGCCTCCTGAATTTTTTTTTTTTTTAACTCTAGAGAGTTTTGCTATAGGGTGCATGGACCTGTTGAAGCGATAGAAAGCAAAAAATCACTCCCTAGGGGATGGCCATGCCTCAATTCCTTCTCCAGTATCCTCTTGGAATTTTAGGCATGCACACATATGCGCCCAGTGTGAGGTTTTTGTTTTTTTTTTTTTGAGAGGTTTTTGCTATAGGGTGCGTGCGCTCGCCAGGCAGACAGAGAGAGACATAGAGACAGAAAGTGAGAAATCACCCCCCAGGGGGGATGGTCACACCGCAATCCCTTCTCCTCCATTCTCCTCTCGGGATCTTGGGCACACACGCACACGCGCCCGGCGTGAGTTTTAAGCCACCGGGTCCGGGACGCGAACCATGGTCGACTACATGGGAGTCCAGCGACATAGCCATTACGCTAACTGCTGGTTCCCCCAGTGTGAGTTTTAAGCCATTAAGTTCAAGACTTGAACCGTGATTGACTATGTGGGAGTCCAGCAACATAACCATTATGCCATCTGCTGATCCCCCTCCTGAAATTTTTATTTAACAGTTCCCATTTTACAAATATGGAAATACAGAGGTCCAGAGCGTTTTAATGCCTATTCCAGACTTGGGCATTGATGCAGTCCAAGGCTCTTTTCAAAGCTCTGCTCCACTGCTCTCATCATTCCAGCTGACGTGCTTTCCTCTCAGCATCTCACCCCCAGACTGAGTGCTCTAGGCTGAAGGGACTGAGGCTGACCCATTTGCTCCTGGCCCCTCTCAGCCCGTAAGACAATGCTTGGCATGTTGTAGTTAGACTCTAAATTATTTATCAGATGCATATATGAATGGATGAATTACAGTACTCCAAAGGTGATTAATTTAAACTGCTAGGAGGAGAAAGTGAGGGAGAAATGTCTAATACTTTGTGGGGGGTTTTTTGTTTGTTTGTTTGTTTGTTTGTTTGTTTTTTCTCTTTTTTTTATTATTATCATAATCTTCTTTATATTACATTGGATTACATATAACTTTACATTGACTTCCATTGCTTTTTCAAAAGGGAATGCCATGCATGTCAGTCAATACAGAGGCATCGATCTCCCCGCTTTATCATTCAAAGTCTTTTCCATGCATTTCCCAATAATTATTATTATTATAATTTTTTATAACAGTCAATCACTATTTCTCATTTTGCTTGTTAGAAGACTTCACCCATCATGAAATACTTCCCAGACCAGTCCAGTTGAGAATACTATACACGTCATCTTCAACAGATAATAAACCATATCTGTTTCTCACTAACATCCCCTCTATTGTTCACTTGCTATCTTTCTCTATCCTCTTCTCTTTTTTTTTTTAGTTTATTTTTTATTATAATTTTTTTTTCTTTTTTTTTCCCATCCGAACACTCAAATGAATTTTCCATCCAATATATACTGTGCGTTGGCTCAATCAAGCACGTCAACATATATGTTCTCAGCAAATAATTTCCCAATTCTTGTGTCCTGCATACCTTGCCTTTTGTTTTACCATCCTAGATTCCCCATCCCCCTCCCTCTGTTATGACCCATCCTCCTCCCACATTGTCCCTGTCATCCCCGAATGCCCTCCGTGCCTCACCCCTCCCCAAATGATCTGTCAGTGATCTTAATTAGTCTAAGTCTCTCCAATAGTTATCACAGCTGACACATGCCTCTACATGAACTCAAGTCTGACTTTAGGCCTAAACCCCATTGGGTAAAAAGAGCATACTATAAAGTAGAACCCAACTGGGCCCATACCGCTCACTGCAGCCATCAAATATCCATTTTTTTTTTTAAATGGTACGAATAGTTTAACCGTTTTTTTTTGTTTGTTTTTTGTTTTCGTTTTTTTCCCGTAACATTCATTCCCTGAGCATCATCACAACGTACTAAATGTAATTTCCCATCTAGAATAAACTGCACAGTGACCCAATCAAGCATGTTATCATCAATAATATTCCACTTCTACTTTCTTGCTTATGCACATATATGTTTTTTTTCCTCTTCCTCTTTTTTTTTATTTTTTTTTATTTTTCCTATGTTTGTCCCTCTGCCCTGTCTCACTCTCCCATTACAATATCCCTGCTATATACAGTTGTCTTCCAGAAGAGTTACTGAAAAAGTGATACATACAAGTAAAGGGAGAGAGGCCACAAGTTCCAACCATCAGCTCATAAAGTTTTTGGTAATAGGGAGCATAAACTCCACTCAGGGTTGGATAAGGAAGGGTCTCCGGCAGATCCACAAGTGTAGGTGAGTCTCCAAGGAATGCAGTTTCAGGAAAGCAGTTCTGGTACACAGGGATAATTATCAGCTGATGCGGCACAGCAGTCATCTTGTAGTTACCAGGAATGGTGTTGTGGGGGTCTGCAGTGTGAGTTGTCCTTGGGTATCTGGCTTCCTTAAAAATGGCAGAGTAGTTCTTGTTTTCCCCTGAGGTAATGCAGGGCTGGTAACTATCATCTTCTTAAGTTGCAAGTTCTTCAACCTAGGGGCGGGGGGGGGCGGGGAGCCCCCCCGGCCGCGTGGCGCCCCCCCCCCAGTGGAGGGGCGCCGGCCAGGCCGTTCCCGGCGCCCGGCTGCGCTGGGGCGGGGCTGTTTGTTTGTTTTTGAGAGAGATTTTTACTATAGGGATCATGCACTCTTCAGAGAGGCAGAAAGTGAAAAATCACCCCCTGGGAGGATGGCCATGCCACAATCCTTTCTCCTCTATTCCTTTCAGGATCTTGGGCACATATGTACATGCACCTGGTGCTTTTTAAGCTGCTAGTCTGGGACTTGAGCCATGTCAACCACACGGGAATCCAGCAACGTAACCATTTTGCCATCTACTGGTCCCAGAATATCTAATTCTTTTTTTGACAACACAAATCCATTTTTATTCATTTACATTTCATTATTTTAAATCCTTGAGGGGTACAGCACCACACGGGTTCTGTGTCCAATGGCCTTAGCAAGAAGGTTGCTTCGGAATTTGGCTCGAACCTTGTCACTGTTTCCATGGGCACAGGTAACCTTTCCCCAAATTACTCTGGTTTTATTTGGTTTGCCACCAGGAGTCACTGTGTTGTTTTTTGCTTTGTACACATAGGCACACCTCTTGCCTAAATAGAATTCCATTTCATCTCGCGCATAAACACCATCAATTTTTTTTTTTTTTTTGGTGGGCGAGCACAGGGACTTTAATACACGGATGACACTCACAACCAAAAAATGGAACGCTTCACGAATTTGCGTGTCATCCTTGCACAGGGGCCATGCTAATCTCTGTATCGTTCCAATTTTAGTATATGTGCTGCCAAAGCGAGCACAAGCACCTTCAATTTTAAGAAGAGCTTTGTGCTCCCTTTGGTTCTTGAGACCCTGCTTATAGCCAGCAAAAATGGCCTTGGACCACAGCCTTCCAGACATAGTTGCCTTTTAGAAGTCCTGTTCCCAGCAGGCCTCCACAGGCTCCAAAATGGCGGAAAGAGAATATCTAATTCTTGATCCTTCCAATTTGTTGTACTTGCCAACTTTTGTAAAGTCTAAACCTGAGTTTGTCAGTCCAGATTGGTCTCTGTTAGTGAAAGTTGGTTATAAGAGTTGGTCTTTGGGACCAGCAGTTGGTGTAATAGCTATGTTGCTAGACTCCTATGTAGTCAACCGTGGTTCGAGTCCCGGACCCAGTGGCTTAAACTCATACTGGGTACGTGTGCGTGCATGCCCAAGATCCCAAGAGGAGAACGGAGGAGAAGGGATTGTGGCCTGACCGTGCCCTGTGAAGGGTGCTTTCTTGCATTCTGTTTCTCTGTCTCTGTAAAGAGTTGGTCTTCTTGGGTCAGCAGGTGGCATGGAGGTTAAGGTCTGGATCTTACATGACTCACTCTGCAATTTGAGTCCCACACTCAACAGCTTGAGGGTCACACCAGGTGCATGTGTGTGCCTGTCCAAAATCCCTATTGGAGACTAAAACAAAAGGGATTGTGGGGTGGCCATCCGCCTTGGGGGGTGATTTATCACTTTCCCCTTCTCTGTGTGTCTCTCTGGGAGCACATGTACCTTATGGCAAAAAAACCTTAAAAAAAGAAAAAGTTGGTCTTCCTTTGGTGAAAGGTTAGATAAAGAGCAAGAAGCTGTCAGTTTCTTACCTAGACAGCCAAGGTGAATATCTGGACTGCGGAGTGAGTCAGTATTTCTTTCTGGTGAAGATGTCGGACAGCTGGTGACTGACTCTGGTCTATTAATAGATTTCTCACCCTCCTCAAGTGATTCTGAACCCTCTTCCCTGAACAACATTCTGGTTTTGCTTTTGCTTCCTGATAAATCATTTTTACAGGGAAGGGACTATAGTGACCAACCAATTTCTCCTGTAAATTATTAAATAGGTATTCTGAATCATTGGGGAATCTGGTTAGGACATTGTCCTTCCTGCATCTGATCAATTCTTGATACAGTGATAAAACCAAGTTGCTGCTTTACTTTTTTTTGTGCAAGTCCAGCGCCACAACCATGTCACCTGCCAGCCCCACTGTGTATTTTTCCCCTCCACTGTGTATATTTTGATTCATCAAAAACATATGTTCATTGTAGATGGTGTCATTTTAATTTTCTAAATATCAAACCAAAAGCATATATTACTTTCATAATCAAAACAAAAAATACAGGTTATTTGAGAATAGAAATCTCTGGCGACCAGCAGGTGGCATGGTGGTTAAGGTGCTGGACACTCCCATGTGACTGACCATGGTTCCAGTCCTTGACCTGGTGACTTGTTATCTCACTTTCTCCCTCTCTCTCTCTGTGTGTCTCTCTCTGGTCAAAATAAATGAACGAATAAATAAAATAAAATAACTATTAATAAAAAGAAAATAGAAATCTCTGGAAGTAGATTATTGTCCCATATTTTTCCTCCTCCTTGATTGTTTCAGGCCTGTTCCATGGCTACTCCACACAGTTCAAATGAAACCTCCTACTTGCTACCTCCAGACAACGAGGACTGTGAAGGGCGCGGCATTCCCGACTTTTTCTATGGGGAGAAGGAGCTGGTAGTAGAAGGGATTCAGTGGCCCAGGACTGCCCCTGGCACCCCGGACACCCTGCCTCTGTCTCGCTTTGACTCTGCACTCTGCACTGCCTGGAGGCAGCGGGTAGAGCTGGGACTCTTTCGCTACCGCCTGGGAGAGCTGCAGACACAAATCCTTCCTGGTGCTGTGGGTTTTGTGGCCCAGCTGAATGTGGAACGAGGGGTACAGAGGAGGCGCCCCCAGAGCATCAAGAGTGTCAGACAGGCATTTGACCCTGAACAGTTTAACTTCAACAAGATCCGGCCAGGAGAAGTCCTCTTCCGTTTGCAGCGGGAGCCTGAACTCCCCAGTGTCCTCGGACAGGAGGAGGTTCTGGTGCTGATCAACGTCAGCCCCCTGGAGTGGGGCCATGTGCTGTTTGTGCCTGAGCCTGCCCGCAGGCTTCCCCAGCGTCTGCTGCCAGGGGTGCTGCGGGCTGGGGTAGAGGCTGTGCTGCTGAGCTTCCACCCAGGCTTCCGCGTGGGCTTCAACAGCCTGGGTGGCCTGGCCTCCGTGAACCACCTCCACCTGCATGGCTACTACCTGGCCCACCGACTGCCTGTGGAGGTGGCACCAAGCGAGCCCCTGGACTCTGAGGGCCATTTGCATCTGCTGCAGACCCTCCCAGCCCCCGGCTTCCTCTTTTATACTGGGGGGCCAGGGCCTGCCTTGGAGGCCTTGATAAGCAGGGTATGTCGGGCCACTGACTATCTGGCCAACCATGAGATTGCACATAACTTATTTGTGACCCGTGGAGCCCCTCCTGGCAGGACATCACCTTCTTCATCCCTCACGGGGGTTCGAGTCATCCTGTGGGCCCGGAAGTCCAACTTTGGCATAAAGGAAGGTGAGGCTTTCAATGTTGCCCTCTGCGAGCTGGCCGGGCACCTCCCTGTCAAAACATCCCAGGACTTCAGCAGCCTGACAGAGGCAGCAGCTGTGGCTCTCATTCAGGACTGTCTGCTGCCCCCAGCCCAAGCAGACAAGGTGCAGGCGGCACTGGTGTCCCTCATGTCCCAGGAAGAGCAGTAGTCCAAGACATATTTATATGTATCAGCCTAAAGAGAAAGATAAAGAAGTGATAATGGGACCAGTGATGTGATGGTTAAAACTCTGGAGTCCCACATGGCCAACCATGATTTGAGACTTGAAGCTGGCAGCTTGAAAATCACACCTGGCACGTGTGGAAGTGTCCAGAATCTCAAGAGGAGAATGGAGGAGAAGAGATTGCATTGTGGCCATTCAACTGGGGGCTCCTGCACCTCTACCAGCCCTCCTGGGGGTCTTTCCCAGGTACCTTACAGCTCCTCACAATATAGGCTTCTCAGGAGATCCAGAGCTATGTCCTTCTTCCTTCTGAGTCAAACTGGAATTTTTTTTTTTTCTACAAGTGCTATTAGAAGAGCACTTGTTTGGGGAACCAGCAGTTGGCGTAATGGCTATGTCGCTGGACTCCCACGTAGTCGACCGCGGTTCGTGTCCCGGACCCGGTGGCTTAAAACTCACGCCGAGCGCGTGTGCATGCGTGCCCAAGATCCCGAGAGGAGAATGGAGGAGAGGAGATTGCGGTGTGACCATCCCCCCTGGGGGGTGATTTCTCGCTTTCTGTCTCTATGTCTCTCTGTGTCTGGCGAGCGCACGCGCCCTACAGTGAAAATCTCTCCAAAAAAAAAAAAAAAAAAAGAGCACTTGTTTATAAAAATCCCATTTTCCTGGGCCAGCAGGTGGCATGGAGGTTAAGACAGCTAGATCCCACATGACTAACTGCACCATTCAAGTCTGTATCCTGGTGACTTGAAAGTCACACCAGGATGTGTGTGTGTGCATGCCCAAAATTCCAACAGGACAATAGAAGAGAAGGGATTGCGGCGTGATCATCCCCACTGGGGGCAACTTCTCACTTTGTCTCTCTTTGTAGGTCTCTGTCTCTAAATTTAAATAAAAAGATGAAAAAAATTCCCATTTTCCTTTGTGCTCCCTAGATGATTGTTGGACAGCAAAAGAGAAGGATTCTTGGGTGTAGCTCTTGACAGAGATGATCGTTGTCACCAAACATTCTAAGGGAATGAAAGTCCCTGCTCACAGGCAGGAGTTGGGGTTCACAGGTGGGTGTCAGGTGCTGACAGAGAGTGCTCCCAACAAAGGTTTGGGCTCCTCTGCTTCCAGTGTTTGGGCCCTGGCCCTGGCTTAGGGCTTCAGGTCACTGACTTCCTAAACACCGGTGTGTATGAAGCTTTAATGTAGAGTTTTAGGAAATATACCATTAAAGGAAAGATGTTACAAAATCGTCTTGGGATAACAATGCGCACCCATAACCCATTTGATAAAGTAACTTAACATTCTATCAGAACATTTGACCATCCTCATGTTTTTTTTTTTCTTTTTTACAAATTGGAGTCATTTCAACCTAATGCCTATTTCTGCAAGCTTTTGCATATAAAATTCCAATAGTGCTTTATTTTGTTTGCTTATCCTCTGAAGGGATGGCAGATGACTATTATGGCAAACTGGATTTGTGCCCAAGGTTTGAGCCAGACATCAGAACCTTTCCACTAGGACTTCTGTTCAGAGGAAAGCCTTTTCCAACCCAAGTAAGTGTTTCTACAAAACTGTGCATGTGGGGTTTTCTTTATGGTGGCCCATCTCAGCCACTTATGTGCTTTGTGAATATTTAAGGAGGGGATTTCTTAAGTCTTAGTATGAAACAGGAGCCCTGGGCTTTGAGCATGGTAGGAAGTACTGATCCAACCCAGGACCTTTCTACCTCTTTGTCTCGGTATAGGGCCTCAAGTGCTAAGGGTGTTTGGATTTCAGCGGGAACCCCTGAGTACTGAATTCCAGAGTAGCAGATTTGTGTTCTAGGAAGAATACTCAAGCTGGAGTGTCAGAGATGGTTGGAGGAAAGCCTAGAATCAGGGAATCCCATGAACAGGTTGTGGAATGGTGATTCAGGAGAGTCCAAGAGCAAGTACAAAATACCAAACAGTTGTTGACACAATGAGAAAAATTAGTGTCCTGGAAGCCAAGAGACTCCCAAGCATTTCAAGGAGGAGCATTTCATATGACACGATGATATTCTGAAGAAAGGGCAATGAGTCTGTGAACTAGAAAATGTCTGTGTTAGGAGCCAGTAGGTGGCGTGGTGGTTGGGGTGCTGGATTCCCACATGGCCAACCGTGGTTCAAGGCCTGGACCTGGTAACTTGCTCTCTTGCTTTCCCTTTCTCTCTCTGTCTCTGTCTGGTCAAATTTTAAATAATAACAATATGGGAACCAGCAGTTGGTGTAATGGCTATGTCGTTGTACTCCCACGTAGTCTACTGCGGTTCACGTCCCGGACCCGGTGGCTTAAAACTCACGCCGGGCACGTGTGCGTGCGTGCCCAAGATCCCGAGAGGACAATGGAGGAGAAGGGATTGCGGCGTGACCATCCCCCCTGGGGGGTGATTTCTCACTTTCTGTCTCTCTGTCTTTCTGGCGAGTGCACGTGCCCTATAGCAAAAACCTCTCAAAAAAAAAAAAGTTAAAATAATAATAACAACTAGAATTAAGAACTGGTGAGCGCACGCGCTCTATAGCGAAAACCTCTCCAAAAAAAAAAAAAGTTAAAATAATAATAACAACAACTAGAATTAATAAAAATAAATCTTAAAAAAAAAAAAAGAAAATGTGTTTTTTAAAGAATACAGAAGTGTAAAATGCCTCTCTAGACTCGGCCACACAAGGTGGTCTTACAGTGACAGGTTGGCTTAGTTTGGTGAAGCTGGCGAGCAGAAGAAGTGGATGTCAGAAAGGGGGGACGACAGAGGGAGGAGCACTGAAAAAAGGGGTTTGTTATTTCTCCCTCCTTAATGGTTCTTTATCAGTTCACTAGGGGGAAAACCTTAGAAAACATGGGTCCTAATTACACTGCCCCTCTGGGAAGCAGAGACGGTGCTCACAGCATGGTTACTAAAAAATTGAGGAAAAACAAGCTTGGCCAAATTCCGGGCTCAGCCACCAAGTTCCTTTGGGATGCAGGTGTCGTGGACCAGCGTTAAGGTGGGAGGACTACAAGTCCCATGATGCACCGGAAGCAGCGGCCTGGTGGGCGGGCGCTGTGGCGCTTCCACCGTCTAATGTTGCGAGCCCGGTCCCAAGATGGCCTCGGCCTGCGCCCAAAATGGGTGTGGTTCTCGGGAAGGCCCCGCCCCCAGAACGCTTCCCCAATGGGGCCACCCTCGTGTCCATGGTGACGGCGGCGGGCGCGGCAGGCGTGTGTTACGGCGGGCC